TTTTCCAATAAATCTGAGTTTTATAAAACCTAGGAAATATGCCAGGTATTCCTGCAGAATTCAGTGTGTTACTGCAGCACAGAACACAGTGCAGGTCTCGTAGGCAGCATGGAGAACGACATGCTGCACTCCAGCACCTTAGTAAGCAGGAACTGAAGAAGAGTTTTCCTCAAGTGCATGGCCCTGGCATTACTGCGTTATTTTCTTTTTAATGAAGGGCCCCTTGTGTTCCCACTGAAGAATGGAGAGAGAGCGAGAGTCTCCTTAAGTCTGAACGGCTTTGCCTAGGCTCCGAACTTGCAATGAATAAAGCCGTCGCTCGAGAGTAAGGCAGTGAGAGAGAGAGAGAGACCGATTTCGCAGTTTGCTGAAGCAGAAAATCGATGCTGATGGAGCACTGTCTTGAAGGGGTTTCCCCTGCTCTGTAGGACTGGGGGTGGTGGTGGTGGGGGGGGTGTCACTCTGGTTTGCGAAACTGCAGGTACCAAGGCGCGTGGGCGGATTCTGAAAGACTGCTGCATTTTTTAAAGAGTTCCCTTATTTCCTGAGATCCGATGAGCACTTTCCAGCCGGCGGGATGGGCTGCTCCCCCTTTAAAAAATTAATTGTCTTTGCCGCATGGATGCCACCGATTTGCCGTCTTCCTCGAAAAACAGGCACGTGGTGTTCTGGTTTTTCTTTCCGCGAATATCTGTCAGGAGAGTTCGTTACGGGAAGAGCACTGCCACTGCTGGTTTTAAATCTGTGTTTTGAAGAAAGAAGTGGGTCACCCCACTTGGGAAGCTTTTTTTTAAAAAAAAACCATCCGGATGCTTAAGCAGTCAGCACCAGGGGAAGCGGTACTTCACACTATTTAACCAAAAGTGTCTTCCTCTGAATCTTGCTTATGTATCAGAATCTTGCCTCGTGGTGACATTCCAAGTGCTTGTGCATGCTAAAGGGTCTTGCTGCAATGGCGTGAAGTCCAGTACATCCTGGGTTTCAGTAATCACAAACGAGGCGCATGCAGGCGAGGTAAAATCGTTGATGAAGGCCACACGCGGCTCCTTGCACGTTGCAGTGCGGGACACGCCCGGGCCGCTCCATCCATCGCCTTTCCTTTTCAACCCCCCCCTGCTCCCCCCCCCAGCAGGACTCCAGCGTGGAACTGGGAGTGAGCGGTGGCCATGCTGGTTTTGTCGGTGAGCACACCTGCACGCACGAGAGAGAGGAGAGGCCACCGCTCTTATAAACTCGTTAAACGTGCAAAAAGTGAGATAAATGGCGCGAAACGTGATGACTAAACAGGATCCCTCCCTGCCTGCGGGGGCCGGTGTGCTGGGAGATGAATGTGTGATGCCTTTACAGGGAGGGAGGGGGTGTGTGTGTGTGTGT